AGTCACTTGAGAGAGGATATTTTGGGGTTGATTTGAGTAAGAGTGTGAGAGAATAAAGTTGGGGGTGGATGGGTATATATAGGGTGTAGGGGTGTTTAATTTAATTTAATTTAATTTTTATTTTTTTGGGTGCATGCACTTGGGAGGTGTATAATTTTTGTGACCATATACTTTGGTGATTGGAGTTGACCACATATTCTGTCTTTCTTTTTTTCTTCTCCTTTTTTTCTTGCCCTTTTTGGGTTTGTGATGATTGGAGGCACCTGTACAACTAGAGTCATTGTTTTTTATTTGTGTTTTTTTCTCCTACTTTTTCGTGAACGAGTTTCATCTGATATACTTCTGACCTTTTTAGATTAACGAAATCCATGTATGATAATACGATTTAGAATTCTATGTGAATTGAGTTGGATTACCTAATTAATCGCCACAGGCTGCACAAAAGAAAGTTGAAATTGATGATTTTTAGTCTAAATATTGTATTAAACAAAGTCGAAATCTCTAATTGCAGAGCACGCTTCGCAAGATAAAGTTAACATTGATGATTTATATTTTAAATTTTATAATAAGCAAAGTCGAGATCTCTAATCACAGAGCACGGTTCGCAATATAAAATTAAAATTGATGATTAATTTCTACACTAAATTTTGTATTAAGCAAAGTCGAAATCTCCAATCGTAGAGCACGCTTTGCAAGAGAAAGTTAACATTGATGATTTCTACTCTAAATTTTGTAATAAGCAAAGTCGAGATCTCTAATTGCATAACACGCTTTGCATGAGCAAGTTGAAATCGATGATTTTTACTCAAACAGACAAAGTTGATTTATTTATTTTTGAGCAAATTGAAATTGATGAATTTCTACTCTAAAATTTGTAATAATGATCCAAGTCGAAGTATATAACTGCTAGACAGCCACGATATAAAGTTGAATTTGATGGTTTCAGCTATATATTTGGTAAATGGAAAAGGAATAATGAGTCAGAGATTTAATTTGTTGGGTATTTGAAAATGGCAAATCTACTTGCATTTGTAAGCCGGCCGGCACCACTTTTGGACATATGATAAAATTGTCAAGATTCAGTGTTTGTTGTTATTTTTTGGGCGGAGGTCTCTACAATTTTGGCTCATCTCAGACATTTCTCGAAAAACACGAAAATTGCTCTGAATTTGTCACTTTCAGATAAGGGATATATATGTCCTTTAATTCGTTTGTGATTTTACGGTCTTCATTATCAATTTACTCACAAAAATTCAATTTCTAATTCAAAATATAACTCAACTTTATTCAATCTCGTTATAACACTACAATAAAATAATCAAATTCCAACGAAAAGTTCCAATACAAATATATTTTAATGGAATTCCAACGAAAATTCAAATAAAATTGTTCCGTTGGAATGAGTTTTCCATTGGAATTTCCGTTGGATTTTGAAGATTCCAACGGAGGTGGAAATAAAAATTCCAACAAAAATTGCACATTCCAACGGTAAAAAACCGTTGGAAAAATAGCCGTTCGAATCATCAAATTCTATCTAAAATTCCAATGGAAAATTCATTCCAACGGAATATTTTCGTTGGAATGATTCCAACGAAACCTATACCATTGGAATATCCGTTGGAATATATTATCGTAGGGTTTCCCGTTGGAATATAATATGTCTTTTGTAGTGTAATCATTAATATTATCAATTTAATTAAAAAATATCAATCAATTATCTTTACACATCACATCGAATTTTAATTCACTGTATAACTCCTACTTTTACATTAAATCAATTTTAATTATTATATTAATACAAACTTAAAATCTTACTAATAACTAACTATACTAACTTTTCAAAAATTCACTCATATTAACTAAAAAAAATCAAATATTAATATATTTATAAACAAGCACACTCTTAGTTCCTTCAACTTTTTCAACAAACCATATTTTGTATTAAAATTTCAAAAATCATCCTCTAATTTTGAGGATATAAAAAATAGTCCAGTTAAAAGTTAATTAAAAAAATAATAGTCTTGCTATTTACATAACCGATCAATTTGAGGATAATATTGGAAAAGTCCTAAGTTAGTAAAATTTCAATGGAATACGCAAACATGATGACAAGTTTTGAAATTGATATTTTGGCAATATTATTTTTAAATTGATCAATTTTAAAATTTATGAAATTACTATTTTATGGAATGATGAGTTTCAATGAAATCAATTTTGATATGCATTCAATGTCACGAGACCATGTTAAAATTGTTCTCAGTTACTTTATAAGGGTGGAGACTTTTTAGTTTTCCTTTTTTTTATTGGGGGATTAATTGATAGTATGGTTTGAATCTGAAATTTAAATATGAGCACTATTTATTTATTTATATATTATCTGTAATTTATTAAATATTTGCAGGCCTTAGTTAATGTATCTTTGGACCATTTGGGTTGAACCCAATTTTATGGTTGAGTTGGCCTTGATGTCAGGTATGTAAACAAGTGCAAGTTGAACACTTATTTTATGGTACATTTTCTATTGTAAATTATGTTTTCCATGCGTATAATTATAATGTCATTATTTTTACGTGTCATTCATTGAATAGAATAAATAATATATTAAAATAGAAATATAATTTTGAAATAGACAATCTCATCATCTAATAGAATGTGAAATATAAACTTAACATAATATATAAATATGACTTTTATCTAGTGCTCATTATTTTCAGTTATCAGTTATCGTCATTAATTTATTTATTAGAGCTCATAAATCATAATTCCAAATTTGTTTCGTATATTTTATTTGCAATGCGTATCAAAATTGGAAATGGCAAACGAACGGCTAGTGATAACTAGAGCTGCAAATAAACCAAACTGAATCGAGCAATAGTTTGTTCATGATAGGTTCGATTTGTTTTATAGCTACTGAGCTACAGACATTGAAAATAAAAAATGCTCGAGGTTGACTCGAATTTGATCGGTTCGAATTTTACTAGAGTTTTGCTCGAAAACTTTAATTAAAAAATAACTAATTATGGGCGTTGAAGTAAGTTTTCTTGTATCCAATTTGATCGTCAAAAGCTTGAACATACAAACTGCATCAAAGTGCTTGAGCTCGAAAATTAATTCGTTTGCAGCTCTAATTAGATAGCTCTAGGAAAACGAGCTAGTTGGCTTTCTATCTTCTTTTAGTAGTTTGAAAAATAAGGCACCGAAAAAATCTGATTATGATGACAAAATCAAGATGCAATATATATGTGATGAGATTAAGGAGGATACTGCGAGATTATGCTCCTAATCAAGGGTCAGTAGATTGTAATTAGTTCCATGAGATCTCTATTGGATTACTCGAATTGTAAATAAAATTATGTGCATGATTCTATTATGGGGATTTCATTTAATTACATTTTTCTGGTAGATCGTAATGTGATTACAAAAATTGCTATAATTTAGTATTGAACGATTATGTGAAATCTTGCCCAAAGATTTAGGTGATCTTTTGGGAAAAAGAAAATATTCCCACCTCAACACTCAATATACTTTAAGCGATTTAATTATTTGATTAATTTTATTAATTCATATTAAAATTTTAATATTTGGTAAGTAAATAATATTGTAATTTGACTACATTATGCATTGTAGATGATTTTTTAATTTAATAGTTGTGAACTCAATATTTGTCCTACATGATTCACAATCTACTTAATTTTTTTACATTTGTCAAAATTTATCCTACTACAATATTAGAGCATTGGAGATGCTCTTATCTTTTGACAAACAAACCATTTTTTTGTGGACTGAAATCAAATGGTTGTGCTATACAAAAGACGCACTATTATATGCATCGAATTTTAATGTCTTTTCTTGAGTAGTTTACTATTATTCTGTAATTCAGCGTGAGTGCCAAGTTCCTACTAAAGAATGAAAATTAGGGGTTCAAATTAGATTGTAATATATGTTGATAAGTTTGTGATTTATTCGCATAAGATCTAAGAAAACATCATAAATTGACACTTGAACTTGAGAAGATTATATTTACATCCAAAAACATAAACTCTCTCTCCCTCTCTCTCGTGTGAGACATAATTATTAGGCCGGTTGACCCGTCATAAATTCGTAATAAAAGTACATATTTATTTGTTAAATGACATACATTAATTTAAGTTGTTTTTTAGAGTATGACATTTTAATTTTAAAAAATAAGTCTATCGAAAACAATATGTGTCTAACTTTGTATATTATGGTAACGATCAGCGCCAAAAGTCAAC